TCAGCATGACAAAATACCACTTAAAGAAAACTGTGGAGATAAAGCTTGACAATGGGAGGGAAATAACAGGTTAAACACAACTTAATAACAACATACTTTTTTTCCCCCCCAAAATATAGAACATTCGCAGATTGTTTCTAAGAAGGGCCTACCTTTTACGGTCGATTGCATCCCACGTCCAGAAGCAGCAAACTATGGACTGAGCCACTCACGCTGAGCCAAGGAATCGTGCAGTGGGGACGAGCTGCCTTTGCTTCCTCTAGACCAGCCACACTGGCAGGGGGGGACAGCACGAGGCCTAGGTTTGAAGTCGGGGGACCCGGGTTTGAAACCCCATTCGCCAATTATAAGTGATAGAACTTGGGGCAAATTGTTCACGCTCCTGATCTTTAATTTTCTAGTCTATAAAATATGACCTCCAACCTCACAGACAGGTGATTAAGATGACATATGAAAAAGCGCGGAATGAATTTAATGTTAATTTCTTTCTCTAAACTCTAATTGAATGCCACTGTTAACCACAGAGCTTTTAAAAATGTGAATTCCCTTAAAGCGTACTCTATATGCTTTAATTAGAACGTCAGGTTAGTATGTTTGGGAAAACTTCTGTTCTAAAGTCTAAGCCCACGGCAGCATTATTTGTAATAGCAAAAACCTGGGAACGATCCAAATATACATCAAGAGGAGTAATTATATATATACTACACAGCCATTTAAAAGGAAGATCTATATTTACTGACACAGAAAGATATTCATCATAAAGTAAGTTTAAAAATCACGTAGCAGCAGGTATGTATAATATGATCTTGCTTTTGTTAAAACAACTAAACGGGGGATGTGTGTGCGTGTGTGCATGTGTGTACATGCACGTATGTATATATATTATATACATAAATAGCAAAGTGTCTGGAAAAATACCTAATAACTGTTAATGGTAGTGATCTCTGGAAGACAGATTGTGGGAGAAGAAACTCTTCATTTCCTATACTCATGAAAAAAACTACACACGTGCTACTGTAAAAACATCCTTTGCCCCAGTCCAGGGTCGTGGTGACTTCCTCCTCTACAGCAGCATCAGGACAAGGAGGTGCTGATGGCTGACAGCAGACTGAGGTGGGCACTGGGGTGGTGTGCGTGAGCGGGGCGGGGAGGCAGCGCGAGTCCACTCACTGCTCACCACCTGCACAGGGAGGGTCCAACTGGCTGCTCACCACCTGCGCAGGGAAGTGTCCACCTGGCTGCGCAGGGAGGGTCTACTTGGCTGCTCACCACCTGCGCAGGGAAGCGTCCACCTGGCTGTCCACCACCTGCGCAGGGAGGTGCCTAGAAGCCGAGGCAGTCAAAGGTTTTCTTAGCTACCTGGATTGTTTTCCCAGAGCAATTTATGACGGATAATGGGAAGGATGTTCTTTGATTGACTCTTCAACTGCATTCACATTTTGCCACAGAGAACAAAGCAATGTAAAAGAATGAGCTTTTACTGTTTAATTTAGGAAGATACTTGAATTGGCTTAGACAAGTAAATGAAACATTGAGACGACATGAGAAGTGTGCCAGAGTCAGGACACAGGATTAATTTTACTGACTTCCTGACAGATAATAAATGGGGATTGTCTTAATAGTCACCAAATGCGTTGGCAATATTTACTGCAGTGCCATAAAATGGTCAACTGGGGCTAACCGCATCTAAAATGAAATTACATCCTGAGTCCATTTCTTTTAACAGAAATAATGAAGACCACCTGGGCAGGCCCGAGTGCACAAGAAGCACCCCGAGTGCACAGATGCCTTCAAGATAACGGAGCCCCACAGGCTTGGAGGAGCCTCGAGTCCTCTCAAGACCAAAGGGGCCCTCACGTCACCCCAGTCCTCTGCGCAAGCATCAAGGTTAGAAACTGTGAGTTCAGCGGCGAAAGGTCTTGAGTCCACAGAGAAATTCTACGGAAGTCAATAAAACCGGCGTATCACACGGTCAACTACTTACCAATAAATAAACCACAACTGCCGATGTAGGCAAGCCTCTGCTTTCCAGAAGTTCACGGAAACAGGCCTGGGAGAGAGGTGACCGGGTTGTTTAAACCTCCAGGAAACGATTTCATTATTTTCCGGGATCACCTAGCCCCAAATTTAGCCATGATAATTCAATTCGTGAGTAAAGCCTTGTGCCAGGTCTCTAGGGAATATGAGAAAGCCACGTTCCTTGCATTTAAGACTTTATAACCTGGCTATGGAGAAATATTTAATAATGAAATAACAGCTCTGACTTCTGACGCTTGCTATGTCCCAGGCACGTTCCATGCTTTCTCTCACGTAAACCAACGCTAACCCTGCGACGCAGGTGCTATTAGCCCCATTCTACAGGTGAGAAAACCAAGGCTCAGAGGCCACGTGATTTATAAGGGTCCCGGCTAGGACTGTGGAACTGAGATTTGAATCCAGGCAGTCGACTCCGCTCTAGTAAGTTCTGCTACAGAGGTATAAGCGAAAGAGAAACAAACAACAGTTAAAATATATTTCGAATACGGGAGGGATTGGGGGGAACTGCAGGGCAGGTCTGTCCGTGAGGAGCGGGAGCCGAGGGCCATGAGGCTGTCGAGCCAGCCGAGGCCCCATCACGAAGGGCTTCAGAGCTCTGCTCAGCTTCATCCTGTCGACGGTGGCAATGACAGAAACGTCAGTCGAGAAATGCTACGCTTTCATGTGTCAAGATTATTTTGGCGGAAATGACCCAGATGGACTGAAGCAGACGGAGATGAGCTGCAGGAGGCTGGTTCAAATGGCTGCGGAATCTGAACGCCTGTCCCAGGTCAACACGGTCGAAGGCTATTTGTCAAAGACGTCCCGTCCCAAGTCCGGTGCTCCATGGACTCTGGGGAACGCAACGAGTCTTTCTGCGCCTTCGATGTCTTCATCTGGAAAATGGAAACGTCCAACGTGCTCTTAGATTTCATCAGCTCTGAAATTTTCTAAGTCTCACGAAAAATTTCTCTTTGAAATTTAATCTTGGGTGGTCTTAAGTCTGGAGAATTGGGGCTGATCTGTAGAAGCTTTGAATGTGCTTAAAAACATCTCGATGTTTCCTTCTGCTGGGCAAAGAACCGAAATTCTGAAAAAAGAATACGGCATTATGCTTCCTATCTTTAATCCTATTTATAAAAAAACAATTTTTATTTTGTTGCTCGGTAACTGTGACCTGGAAGAGTTGACTTTGCATAAAAGGAACCCATGGTCCTCTAGTCTTGGTGTCTTTTCTATGATCTTCTTACACAGTGGCTAGGATAGACTTGATGGGAGATTAAGTCACGAGAAGGTATTTTTGAACCCATGTTATTGTTTGTAAGCCAGTTCATTGTCTTTTTACAAGGTATTACCCAAGAGAAAGAAGAGGTGTCCTTTCCGCCCCAACTGAGTTCAATATAAGTCTACTGTTATGATTTCCCGGTGACCTATTCATTGACCTTTATAAAAAAGAACTCCTCTCTTCAAGTACCTCTAACCCGTGTTATAAATCTAGGGACATTTTAGATGGTGTAGAGATGGGGTGATCAAGTCATCCCTGTTTGGAACCGTCTCAGAACTAGAACTGAAAGTCTCGGGGCCCAGGAAACTCCTCAGCCTCAGGCAAACTAGGATGGCTGGCTGGTCACCCTAAGACAATGCCCGTGAGATCCAGAACTCGAGAATGTCCAAATCCTACCTTCTCTTAATCTCCCAACTTCCCACGAGGCTCCTGAAGAGGCCACACAAAGAAACCGCAGTGAGGGGTGAATACAGCGTTTTATCTGATCGTTATCGGCTGGGCTAATCCTGACGCCTCCAGAAAGCCACAGTAACGCTGTGACAGAGCCCAGGGACGAGTCTCGAGACCGAGGGCCCCCATATTTCTCCTTCGACCCGAATGTAAAAACTCTAGAAGCTAAGGTCCTTTGGCCTGCAGTAAAGTACAAACAGAAGACTAAAGCAAAGACTCATGGGCTTAGGTCCTCGTGTGAGGAAGGAACACAGAGAGATGGCCGGCTTCGGGGCCTGGCTCAGAATGTCCCTCTTAGTCCAAGGGAGCACGATGCGGGAGAGAGAACTGCAGGCGTGTGGTCTCCCGCCGCCGCGTGGCTCTTCTCGGTGGCAGGTGGCAAACGCGGCCTCGCCCGCGCTCAGGAACACCACTGCTATCTCCTCACTGCGGAGCCGCGAGTGGCCAAGAGAGGGGTGACCTCACCCCGCACGACGCTGGCAACGAAACCGAACCCAGAGGCGCGAAGCGTCACTGTGTGAACACGCAAAACCGCGCGAGAAGTCGATTTTCGAATAAAACTGAAAAGTCAAAGCTTATTTCAAAGCCTTTTTAGTTTCTTTAGTAGACAATTTATTTTGATAAACTTGCTCAATAACAAAAATACAAGTGAAGAAAATTATGTTCATTTTATACAGTTTGTATTAACAATTTGTTTTGAAACTATTAATTGAAAAATGTTATAACCAATTAGAAAACAATTCTTAATAAAGTTTGGGGGAATATACAGACCTTGATCACAAACTTCAAAATCTCTTGAGGTGATACAACTAGTAAAATCCTGTGTGAGGAATCTGAGCCACACAGGCCATTTTTTCCTTCATATCTTTTTATCCTTCAAAAACTAGCTCTGAAAGACAGCTTACTGTTTTGTATTGTGAATATAAATTTAACTTTCAAAGATCAGAGTGGGTTGATAAAACAGGTCCTATAATCCGATTAACTGTGGCTAGTAGTCTTTTAATAAAGACAAAAGAAAAGCAACATGTTCTTCCCGTGAAGCCCACGATGCAAAACAACAGCTAAGGGTATATCCAAAGTCAGTTTCCAATACTTTTTCAGGGCCTTTCCGCTACATCGATAGATTGTATGTCACCAGGACCGATTATTATTTTACCAAAGGGATTAAACGGTGAATTCACAGAACAGCAAGTTGGGATATCAAAGCTTTAGGCAAAAGGGAAAAACCAATGAAGTGTTTTTGGTCGTCTAGAACATTAAAAAAAAAAAAAAAAAAAGTCGTCCTTCAAAAAAACAAAACGAATGGAACAGAAAATAAGTTTATAAGAAGTAGAAGAGTCAGGAACATTACATATGCACATTAACGACATAGAACATGGATTACCTTTGGAAAGAACCATACTGAAATGTTTGCTTTTAATGAAGATTTTCCACGTTTACAGATGTTTAGGCATGTTTAATAGGAGCTTCCAAAACTTTCAAACTAAGTCCTGTGCAAATAAGACCTATAAAGAGTTTTCAGCAGATCTGACAGTGATGTTCTTAGATATGAGAATAATGCACACGCTAAAAACAATGGAACAGACGAAAGTCTGACAAATGATTGCACCATAAAACAGTGTTTTATATACAGTTTACGAGATACGATTTCCTGTTATAAATTAATACTGTACTATATAGTACTTATAGTGACCTTTTTAAAAGCAACTGCTGCCAGTTGTCTCTTCACTTACAGGATGTACAGAATTTTACACGAATGCGTCCATCTCAATGTCTGGTCTGGAAGAGGACCAAAATCTGGCTTCACACGCTATCTGACGGGACAGTTTGTTCCTGGGTTAGGATGCTGACGGGCTAGAGAGAGTTTTCCCCACCAGCTCCTCATGCACGAGGCCTCCAAGACGATGAGGAAATTAAAGACAATTTAATGGTTTGGGTAATAGATACAAATAAAACCTTCAATTTTGTCATCTCATATGCAATACCACTGTAAGTCGAAGAAGTAAACAGTGGGGAAATTCTTAGCAGCTGAGAAACCTTCTCTCCCCATGCTCACCATCCAGTTAAAAATATTTCGAGGAACTATTTACAATAAAATTCATCTTTTGGAAGAGAAGAACTCTTGGTCATATCGCAAGTGAATTTGAACCATACTTTGCTAACACTTTATCTCAGTGGCATAATGGTGATAACGAAAGCTTTCCTTCGGGGTGGCCCATGTGACAGAGGACCAAGCAGATAGATCTCCATGGGAACGGCAATCCCAGATGTCCACGGAAGACGCCTAGTGGGATTCTCAGAAGTGACTGGGCATCGTTAACACTTGGGAAAAGCGTCTCCCTCGGGCACCTTCTAAAGGTGTCTTTGACCCTGGGAAGGAGAGTGTGACAGTCCACCAGGACGCTCAGGGAGGCCCACCTCTGACCCCGCTCCCGAGTCAGCAGCCACACGATAAAATGCTGCTGAACTAACAGCAGGACAGCTGTTAAAACGGGCCGGCGTGGAAGACATCGGTCCTCCGTGTCACGCTGTGAACATCCGAGGAGGTGACCCCGTCTCTGAAGAAATCGTGCTGTAACTTATCATCAGGCTTCTACAAATACAGCGCGCCCCCTTTTGGTGGGTGAGGCTGTCACACGTGGACGACACGTGGACGACACGGGCCTCCGACTCTACTGACGGGGACATCTGGGCTGCCGTCTCACCGTGGAGAAGAAAAGCTCAGCCCCACGGCCACGAAAACTTACACTCATTGCCACGAAGGACGCTCCTGCCCCACGTTTCCCACGGGAGATCGTCTATGGCGTCTGCCGGGAACAAACGCTGGGCAGACACCAAGGCGTGGAGGCGTGACGAGGAGAAACACTGCACTTGAAACCCAGCTGCGGGTGCGACGATGAGCTGCGATGCTTCTCTTAGGAAAAAACGGAAAGCTGAGGGGTTAGCGCAGCCCTTTAAAGTAAACGTGGAAGTGTTTAGCGCTCAGCCAACGAAGGCGAACAGCATACAAAGGAAGCATCGTATTGCTCAGGTTTTTGGTAAAGAAGATGTGTTAATAATGCTTACAGGTGAAAAGGACATAAATATAATTTTTAGAGCAGAGTGATGTGAGTGTTGTAAGGAGCTGAAATATCGGTGTTACTGGAGAACTTTGTATTTCCGTTTTGTGCGCTCGAACACATAAGATGCATCATTAATGCAACAGACTGAGCCGGTAGAAAAAGCAGCTCTGCACGACAGACAGCAGTTGCCGATGGTCTAAATAGTGTCAGATTCCCCAAATGACAAGGTTTGACGTGATCTTACCTCCTACTACCGTATACAAATAAATTAATCCTGCCAGGAATTTTAGCTTAACTTAAAGTTGCACCTAGAAAGATGTGGGATTATTTGTACCTATTACAAAAACCTGTTGAAATTAGGGCTGCTACAAAGAATGAGGTAAACTGAAGACTCTCTCCGCTACGCAGCCTTCAGATAAATGGCTTTTTTTCTATTGAGTTCTAGGTTTGCACACCACAGTGTTTCGCTAGCGAAGCATTCGGAGTTCTCTTCCAGGAACTGTTTGCATGTGTGTGTGTGTAAATTGACACACCCACACGCACGCACATATATACACACTGTATACTGCATCAGCAAAATATATATATTATATATATATTTATATAAATATAAGGAACATTTCCCCCCCGCCACCCCCAGAGACATGTTTCTTAGTGTTTGATTTTTTTTTTCTTTTGTACACAGAGAATAGGGCATTTCAGAATTTTTACAGACATTTTCGCAAACGAGTTTTGATCTCCTGGCCTCTGGGTGCAGCGACGCCGGTGGCACCGGTGCCCGAGGCTCCCGGCAGCGGACGGAGGCTGCGACGCTCGTACATCCGTCCGGTCCACCTCGATCCGTTACCACTGAGCACGTGTGTTCCTCGAATGAATCGTTAGACGTTAAAAACGGAACAGCAGAGTCACCGAGGGCCACGTCGTCTTCGGTGTAAAGTGCCCTCCTTCTAGGTTGCTTTCGCAGTGTGGACCTGACCGCCTGAATAGGCTCCGGAGATTTAAGTCAATATTGTCTGTATTTGGTTATGGGAAAGGCTCTCATTATTTTTAAAATCCAAAGTGCATAGTGAGAACAAATCAAAGCGTTTTGTTTTTCTTTCCAGCATCAGCTTCATCTGAGCATCTTCCCATGAGAGGACTACTCAGATGCCTTGCCTTTGTCCTCCTCGCCCTCCAAGAAATAAAAAATAAAATAAAATATAAAATAATAAAAGAGTCAAGCAATTTAGACATTCATCAGCCTGGTAAACAAACTTTGCCAGCAAAGAGAAGTCCTACTATTGTAAAGAAAATCGATAAGACAAAAAGTACGTATGACGACCCAACTACTGTGTTGTTGGGTAATTTATAAGGTTGGCCTCCGACTTCATTGATGTAAAATCCTATTGGAAATATTAGGGCAGCCATACAGAAAAGGATCACTGTAAAAAACAAACCAAAACACAACATTAGTAACATGGTTTGGTGATGAGGAAAACAATGACATTTGGGTACAGAGGAAGCTTTATAACGGCTGTGGGTTGATAACATGGTCACATCTGTTAAGCACACACCCCAGATCTCGTAATATCCCCCAAAGCCTCACCAGTAAATACGGCAAAAGCTGGGTTAGCTTTTTAAGAAGATTTCAAACATCAGCATTAAGAAAGGCTCCTAAGAACTACTAAGGGCTCCCACGTGCTATTCTTGACTACTTAAGGCCGTGACTAAGGTGTCTGGCCAGAGTCACACAGGGGTTCGCTTCTGCCTGTGCAATCTTAGGCTCCTGGTTCCCTTCTGCAAATGGGCTAAGTTCTAGAAGTAGAAACCAACCAGTAGCGAGTCCCTGGCACCGTGCTGGGCTGAGAGCGAGCGCTGCACAAACTCTGCACATTATCGCCAGTTCTGACTTTGCCAAGTCTCCGCTCCCCTCAGCTGGTGTTGCTTAGAAGGGACTGGAGAGAAGGTACACGTGAGAACCACGTGCCTTACTCCGGTTTAAAATCAGCTAGTGACGAGAACCTTAGACATCTGATTAGCGAACTGTCAGGGTGGTTCTCTCTCATCATGGACGAAGTCCCCTCTCCCCCCAAAAATTGTCAGGTTTCTGAACACACAAAGGTTCAAGCGGGGGAGGGTGGGAAAACCTTTGAGTTTTGTATGCAAACACAGTGCAATATATTATTTGCTAAAACGTTTCTAGAAAGGTAACAGAAACCCAGCGTCTGGGTGGAAGTAATTCCACAGGCCCTTGTTTTAGCCAGCGGTGCGCTCCCTTGTGCTACCAAAAAAACCACTCTTCTTAGTGAACGCAAATTACCGAGAGATAGGCTAGCTCTCCCAAGAAAATAGTTTATGCTTTCTGAAAGCACATTAGTCAAATGCTCACAGTCCTTCTAACGTCTCTGGAGGCAGAAACATTTCTTCAGTGACGTGAGGACAGACGACCACCGTCACTGTGCATGATTGGACGCTTTCCACCATCATCCGAATGAGGAGTCTTTTCCAAGTTAAACCCACCCCAGGAATACTGACCACCGGGTCCTGCTGACACTCGTCCTATAAATTACGTTCGTGTTAGTCAATCGACAAACTTTAATAGGGTCCAGGAACCAAGGAGTCTTTTCCTGGAAGGAATAGCTCCAGAAAGGTATTAAAAAGTAACATTTTTCAAGCAATATACTAACTCAAGAGACACTTGTTTGCTCTGCACTATTTAAGTGAATTATTTTATATTATAGAGACGCACAGCCTATCCCATTTTGGGTAAAAGACCACACCAAATAATGTTACATAAGCGAATTTGGATTCTTTCCAATACCTACTAGAACCAATGAAAAATTCAGGAATTAAGTATTAGTTAGACCTTCTGGCCTTTCTGCTGTACAGTCAGCAATCAATAATGTTATGAGTGTTGCCAATGCCCACTCATCAGTATTATCTGTCACCAATTTCTAACGGTCCTTATGCCTTAAATAGGGTTTGGTAGTAAAATGAAAACACAATCTATGTAGCTATATACAATCTAATAAAAAGGATGGGATATGATTATTGTTTTCAAAACAATGTGTTTCTTAATGACTAATCTCGAGAAACAAATAGTTTAGAACTACTTTAGAGACAGGTAGATATTAGTTCATTCTGTTAACAGATATGCCAACTTTATTCTATCCTTTCTTATTTTCTATTGTAAAATAAATATTAATCCATTATAATGAAGTAATCGTTTAATGACTGTATTTAAGATAGAGTTTAATATTTTACAAGAGTTAAATATTTTCCAAAATGGTTAGGAAAAGCTTACTCAAATTTAAAGGAAGCGATTCAATCTAATTTTGGTTTTTAATCCAAAAAATTAGGTTCTCTATACTTCCTGCGGGAGATTTAATGTGGGTGGATGAGTTTTCTTTTAAGCTATTGAGACCTGGAAAGTTACTTTAGATCTTAAAATATTATTAATGCTGATAATATCGACTTTTGACAATTCAGTTCTGGGCCCTAAATAAGCCTAAAAAATCACAATTTCATACGCTCCACAGAGGTGAGCGACAGGTATCAGGTGCAATGGCAGATGAGGACGTAAATCGGGGTTGCAAAGGGAAGAACGAGAGTCAGAGCTGCAGAAACAGACCCTCGTCACCCCAGACATATGTGCGGCTCACCTCTGAGGGAGCTCCCCGCTGCCAAAGCCAGCAGAGGACAGCGCCCTCCCACCCTTAGCGAAACGATTTTACCTGCAGCAGACACATGGCAGCAGAGATGACGGACACCAGCACATTGCCAAGTGCGACAAAACCTAGGGGGACCCTGGTCCTTCACGGGACTGCCACTCCAGCGGGCTAGTTCCGGTGTCAAAAACAATGGATTTAAGGGATGCTGGGAGAGGTGCAACTCTATGCCTACTTAGATGACATTAAGTCCAAGATACATCGCTGAGCTAAAAAAGCAAGGTGCGGACATTATAAACAGAATGAAGAGATTCTTGTGGAACACTCATACTCAAACGCTTCCATGCAAATGCATCCGGAAGGACATCCTACAAACAGGTAACGACTGTTGTCTCAAGAATACTTTGGGTGACCCTTTCACAGCCTTTGAATTATATATCACACGCGCATATTATTTGTAAAAGTAATTTAAAAAATAAAGGAAAAACGCTGCATGTGGGGGTAGTAGCTACGTGTACTTAAATACTCTCTACTGAAGGGAAATGAAAACGATAATTATAGTTCTCTTTACTGGGTCACGAGAAACAATGGCTCGGTGAGCATCTTAGCGCTCTGACTCATAGCACGTTGCTAAACTATATTCGAGATCGTTCCTATTCAGAGCATATGCGTTCCTAAATTTAACCTAAACGCAGAAAGTACATCCTTCCTTTCCGATTTTACTGAGGGTGAATTCTAGCTGGGTGAGTGACTGCACCGTGAGGGAAGAGCCTCTTTAGATTCCTCATCGCCACCCTGTAACTCAGCGGCGTGTCCCTGTGACCCCCTCCGGACCCTGCTCCCCAGGAAAGCACCATCTTGGGAGGGCTGTCGACCTCCAACGAGATCGTCGACTTGACTCACATTTCTTAACAAGGATGGAACCGACTTTTTATGTCAAAAGCAACATATCTAAATTTTAAAATTAAGGGAGATGTAGAGGCAAAAATAAAACAACAGAACCAGGAACATGTACATTAAGAGAGTTTCACAGAGAGAGAGAGAGAGAGAGAGAGAGAGAGAGAGAGAGAGAGAGAGAGAGCGCGAGCGCCAGAGATGCGTGAACTAATTAATCTCTCTATCTTATGGTCTTTGAGGATAAATTGCAGAGATGCGTGAACTAATCTCTCTATCTTATGGTCTTTGAGGATAAATTGAGTTTTAATATTAATAGGGATATGTGGGATTATGCTTCACCACTATCATACAAGTTCTAAATGAAAATATCAAATGAAAGTAGGCTGTGTTATAATATTCATTTTTAAAACCTTAAGCAAACCTGAGATGATTTTAAGGCACTGAATTAAAAGTTAAATGCACAGCATCTGGCATAAAAGTATCGTTATCCTGTTCTTTAGAGCAGGATGTCTCGACAGGGCCCTCCTGCCATTTGGGGCCAGAGAAGTCTTTGTTGCAGGGGGCTGTCCTGTGCATTCGTCACATGTCTGGCAGCATCCCTGGCCTCTGCTCACTAGGTGTCAGTAGCATCCCCCTAGTTGTGACAATCAAAAATGTCCCCAGACATTGATAAATGGACCCTGGGGGCAAAATTGCTGTAGAGAGAAAGAAGCCAGAAAGCAGAATTACAGAAATATCTTCTTCATGCATATTGGTTTAACTTGGGACAAGCCTCTGATGTGTTTTGAAATTAAACCGATTTTACAAAGTACAAGAGAGTGTGCAATATATAAATATATCACACTCTTGGGCATAGCTTAATAAGAAATGTTGAGAAACGGTTATTAAACAACAAAATGTGTTGATTTTTCAACGGTGACACACGACTCAGTCGAAACTCAAAATCAGTGATACTAAAAAGCACGTCACCACCTTCATCTAATTTTTGTTTGTTATATTTTCATCTAGATTCATCTTTATTTGACAGAAGATACCAATACCGTCAAGAAGAGGAAAAGACTCAGATTAACGGTAGCTCTGAGTCACGGACCTGAAACACTTATGTCACGGTATGGGCAAAAGTAAAATGCATTAAGGTAGCATTTCATACAGAGAGGCTAAGGTTTTGAACGTCCCGGTCCCGGTCCCGTGGTGACACCGCTGGGAACCGACAGCTCATGTGACGGTCAGGGTCCTTATCACTGATTCCTGATGATCTTCGCAAAAACCCCAGGCGTGCGTGCGCCTTCTGGACAAATTCAGTGAGCACAGGTTACTTACTTCCAGTGAACGCGATCCATCGAGCGTATTTTGTAGCTTCTCTTCGCCAGTGGGAAGCCACCAGCAAACCGCAAGTGACAGTCAATGAAATGATTCCCATGATGATAAAAAACAGCGTGGTGACCCACTCTGGGGGCAGTCGAGGCGGGATGCAAGTTCGGTCTCGTCCGTGGATTGTCTGACACTGTCGCACCAGGCCCACAGTGAGCGCTCCTGGGGGAGATGCAAAGGCGGGAATATTTTAGTGGGTTTGGCACACCTGGGAAACAGTCTCTCCTAGCCCTTAAATCGGATTTCTCTCTACACGGGTCATCCCAGCCCTTAATTCCCCCGAGACCCGCTGTCACTCACTCTGCCGTACTTGTAACGCAGTCATACTTGGCTTAACATACAAAGTGAACTTAAAAAAAAAACTTCGCAACAACCATTAAAAGGCAGTTCATTTAATCGTGCATTAAACAAATACTTTGCTGAGCACCTGTGTCAGGCACGGTTCTGGGCTCCAGAAAAATAACAGCGAACATGACGGACGCGGTTCCTGCTCTTGATGAGCTCACATACTAGCAGAAAGAAATGGAACTTGTCTATTTCCAGATCCAAGACTCACTGTGTATTGTTTTATTTTGGCTGAGGAGAAAAACACTTTGCTGGAAATTGAAGGCAAACTTGAAATATGTCTATGCATAATATACAAGTGGCGTTAAATAATGGATTAAATACTAGAACCGATATATTTTATTAAAGTTAAAAGGTCTAAGAATATAATATACTCAAGAAAATGTTGAAAAAACTAGTGAATTTCTCCATTTCGTAAGTTCAACGATTTTTGTACAATATACAAGTCTTCACAATTGCCAAACCATTGCTGGCATTAGGCAGAAAAGTATAAATGCACTAGTGGTAAATTTTAAAGAACCTCCTCTCTCCTTATCCATTGAAATAACAGAAAAGTGGTTTTTGTAAAAATCCAAGTGCTATTTTTATACAAACACGCTCTCGTGTCAAAGGAAGCCCTCTACCAAATTTGGAGTGAGCTAATTTGTAGAAACCTACATGAAGAAGGCGAAAAGTAATTATTTTATCTACTTTCCCGCAGAGAACAATCAGAAATTTCTGGAGTCATTGAAAACATAATAGATTTCTGCATCTGCTGGGACCGAGTGCCCTTTTGGAGGACGGGGAGCTGTCGTGGGGTGGGGGTGCTGGGGGGAGAGGGCTCTCCTGTGACTTGTGTTTTGCCACTGATTCGTTTTTAGAAATAAAGCGATGTGTTCAAAGAAAACGACGTGGGAAATCAGTCGTTCCCCGCAAACCGAGCAGTAGTCGCCCTTTGCCTCTAACGGACTACGTGTGCCGCACGTCCTTCAGCAGATGGAAGGAGACAGCTCGCGGTGACAAGCTGTACCTTTTCCTCTCGAAGCATCTCATAACTGGGCCCACTACGGTGTCCTTGTAGGTGCAACGGCAGGATTCTGGGCTTCTCTCTGGCAGGATGGGGGCGGATGGGGGTGGCAGGGGAACAGAAAGGGAGCTAACCTCCACATCGACGCCCCCCGCTATCCCTCCTTCTAGCTGCCGTTTGGGGCTGAGTGACTTCATAGGCCAAAGAGAAATAAATCCAGGTCAAAGTTTTTGACATTCCACTGCTAACCTTCGAAGTATCGTGGTGATCGCGTGAGACTAGAAAAGGAGGAAGGACGGGGTGGGGAGGCACCGCGGGGTTGCGAAATTGGTCTTAAATCGAAACACCAAAGTTTCTTTGAAAAGAAAACTTGGGGAGAGCGGGGTGTCTCGTTACGATAAAGCATTTTACCGTGATTTTAGAAACAAAGATGGCATTCCCAGCAGTGCGCAGGGACACCTCACAGGACACTCCTGCTCACTCAGCACACACCTGACGAGTCGCCCTCTGAAGTCACCGTCCCACTTGCTGTGAGAACAGACAGCGGGCATGAAAGGCCCTCAGACAAAATGCGACAGTGTGGATTCTGGTGATAGCTGTAACTTTGCTCACGACTCAGAATACACAGTTTCGCTGGTAACTACAGCTAGTGGGCTTCGATTTACATTTCAGAATTTTCTTTTGCTGGCAAATATTTAAACCTATAGGTTCAGTAAATCCTAACTAAAACATCTCTGCTTCGAAATACCCGAGTCTCCTCCGACGCCTTTCTTGCTTTCTGTTTCCGGCCCTGGCGGGGAGCCTCAGGGCTCTCGGGCGGACTGTCACCTGCTGTGCCTCGCTGAGTGGGACCCCTTCTTCGTCCCAGCCGGCCTGGCACACCGCAACAGTCAGAAAAGGAACTCAGAGGGAGACCCTCCACGAACCAGCGGAAACGGGTGACCTGACAGGTGCTACGCGCCCACAGTGACAAAAGTCCTGTCGCAAGTCAAGACCGAACACCCAGCAGCTAACATTCTGAAGAAAAGAAAGCTAACGCTAACAGACGACCAGGAGGGCGACTGTATCTAAGAGAATCAATTCACAAAGATTTTCCTGAGCGTTTTTATGTGCTCAGCACTGCCGCAGTGGTCACAGGCTCCAAGGCTAAGGCTCTAGTGACACCGTCGGTGAAAACGGGCTTCCCTTAGACACAGCGTACGAGGGCCAGTGCGAACCGCGGTCGGCCAGTATTCTAAAAATCGCTTTCTTAAGACTCCAGGGGAACGTAATTCACATCAGTCACGTGTGTGCCATAAGCCGTCTGGGTAAAGGGATCTGCAAAGGTAATGATGCTCTGGCTGTGACATCTTCCAAGTCCCAGCTTCCCCCAGGCCTTTAAATCACCTCTCACCCAAAAGAATTCTCTCTCGCGCCGACTAGTCGAGATCTTTTACATCTGTCAGATTCTCTGAACACATTCAGTCTGAACCACACAGCCGTGTACTTGAGTTTAAATTAGCTTCTTTTTACCTCCAACAGAAAAAGAACCTCTGCTTCACTGGGAACCCCCAGAATGGCCTGCGGCAGTGGGCGTGGGGCGGGAATTAATAAGCGTGTGGTGAACCCAAACGAGGCAGGGACAAGCTGAGTGTCAAATAAATCAGGCTGCATCGGATAGGCTCTGCAGTGGGACCGTCTCAGTGCGATTTCCCGAAGCGCACTAATTAGACACTACCCAGCCATTCACTAATTTTTGTTTTACCCAACAGGTCTTTTGCTTCTTGACAGGACCTGTAATTCCTTTCCCCAGCCAATCCATCTTTCCCCTGCAGCTGTTTCCTAGGTAACCAATCCAGCTGAATAAAAGACTTGCACACAAAAGGAAAAAGGAAACTGAACTAGAACTATAGCATCCCACGTGCCTTTCAGTACCTCACCTGCGTCGCATAACGCACACAAGCACGTCGTAGTGTCTTAACGGGGCCTCCCCTGTTGAGTGGGTATCGTGACTAAGGAGGCTTTTGACACTCATCACCTACATAGACACTGTTGAAATGAAGGCACAGACGGTCTCGGCATGTCTCCTGCCACTGTGAGGATGCTCACGCATGTCATTGCTACGTGTAAAAGCTGTGCCGCAGGAAATCTGAAACACGGGAGTGCAAAGCAGAGGCACACACACCTGCCAGACTGTCAGAGCACGCCACGTGCACTGAGTGCATGCCAGCCCGGCCACGGGGAGCATGGGATATGGTTTCTGAGGAGACTGCAGTTATCAATAGTGCTGAGGATCCCTTGTACATGAGAATTCATTTTCTTCCTGCTTCAAGATTTTCTTCAAGATTTTATGTCTTTGGCTTGCGATGGTTTGACTATGATTTGACTAGCTGCAGATTACTCTGAGTCGATCCTACCCGGTATTTGAGGTTTTTCAAAATGCAGATTAAAGTTTTTTATCATATTTGGAGATTTGTTCAGATATTCTTTTTGTCCCTTTCTCTCTCTCTCCTCTTTCTGGAACTTCCATTATGTGTACACCGGAATACTCGATGTCTCATGGGTCTCTCGTGCTCCGTTCATTTAAAACATTTTTTTCTTTCTGTTCATCAGATTAAATCATTTTGGTTGACTCGTCTTCAAGTTCGCTGGTTCTTTCTTCTGCCAACTTCTATTTTAGTTATTGTATTTTTCAACTCCGGGATTTCTATTTTCTTTTTATAATTCCCATCTAAAGAGATAGTCTCTACGTAGTGAGACATTGTTTTCTTATGTTCCTTTAATTCTTTACACATGGTTTCTGTATTTTTGCAACATATTTTTCACAGCTGATTTAAACTCTGTCTAGCAGGCCCAATGTCTGGACTTCCTTAGACACTGTTTCTAATGACTTCTTTTATTTTTCTGTGTTTAGGCCACACTTCCCTGTTTGTGTGTCTTGTAATTTCTAGTTGAAAACGGAAATTTTAAAATAACACAATGTGACAGCTGTGGATATCATATGCTCGGGCTTTATTGTTATTACTGTTTGTTCACTGACTTAAAAAAGTTTGTATTCACTGATGTGTGTGGCCTCTGAAGTCTCTGTTCCATCAACACGGCGGTCAGCTAATGGCTGAAACAGGATTTCTTTCAATGCCCTGAATCAATGCCGCTCAGCCTGTGCTGTGTGTGTCTGCTGCGGCACACTGTCGATGCTCCGGCAGGTGATTTACAGCTCTGCCTTAGTACTCACGTCCTGCTTGCAGTCTCAAGATCAGCTGGAATTACGAGGGGAGGGCGTTCCCAGGTCTCTCCTGGGCATGTGGGCATCCCTGACCAGGTGTGTGGCCTTCTAGATTCCTCGGGATGTGTTGGAGCTTTTCAGAGGCTCCTAGGAACATCCTGTTACCCAGCTTTTCCTTTATGTTTTTGGTCAACCTTTTGTTCGCATCACCTGGGACCACCACCCTCGCTCGGTACCTGTAATGCTAAGCCACTGGTGCTGATTGTCTTTGACGAATGTCCTGGGGGCAGGGCAGAGGGAGCTCGGAATCTGGTCCAAGAAAGGTAAGCCCTGAAAAAAGATATCTTCAGTGAGCTGCCAGACAGGTCGAATCATGACAATTCTCTGATGGGGCTTTAAGGAGCACCAAACCCTTGTGCCCTCTCGAGTGGCTGCTCGGCTGCTGTTTCTCACAGCTGCCATAGTTGCAAGGCTATTGGCTTTGGAGGCTAGTGGAGTGGGGGAGGGGGGACGAGATGAGCACAACTTACAACTGTCACAGAGTTTACGGTTCTTACGAAAATTCAGGGGATTTTCTTAAATTAATGCTCCTTGGATTGCTGAAAGCCTTCATTTCCAGAGTTCTGAAAGAGCTGATCTGACAATTTTTGCCAGTGTTCTCATCGTATTTATGGAGGAGCTGATTTTCAGAAGTCCCTATTCCATTATTCCAGAAGTTAAACACAAAAGGTCACAATTTAAATCTCAGCTTTGCTACACCTGGGCAGGTCACTTAATCTTTCTAAGCCTGCTTTGGCCGGAAAATAATATGACCTACCATTTAGGTTTCTGTGAGAATTAATACCTGGAAAGCAACCAGAACTGTAAGCACTGAATAATTATCACATGCTTTCAGGAAAAGAAATTATATATTTTTGTTTTAGTTAAAAAATACACACACAGAGGACAGCAGTAGACACGCTAATTTAACACAATAATTCAATCGTATGCTCATGAAACTCACATTCGAAAATGAAGAGCGTGAGACTTGATGGTCGCGAAGGCTGCTGGTCATGACAAGTACTCAGGACCCTTTGCTCCCCTGCCCGACTGCCTTCGTACATCACTCAGATTGAAGATTAAGCACAAGGCCAGTTCACACTGAACTGGGGACAGATTTCACAGAAACGGCAGTGCTGGGAACATTGAGACTGGAAATGGTTTGCTAATAGGATGAAATTGCAGAATGTTGTTACATAGCAAGAACATAAAAAGCGATCGTTAAGTTCTTTTTGTTTGATTTTCTTTTCTCTTAAACTGTATTGGCTTTTCTATTCCTATTAAAAACACAACTACTGCCAGCTGTTCGTAAGTAGGGCTGGAGTTCAGAGGGCATAGCTCATTTTACGATCGACTAAATCAAACCTAAAATTGTCCTCTCATTGTAGCTTATTCTATCAGCCCTTGCTCCATAAACTTGGCCTTGAGTCTAATCCTATAGAGACATTAAACATAAACTAGCAGCGAATCTTTATTTTATTTTAAACGTCTACAGCACCTGGTCTCCCTCAGTGGTCTCCCATCCAAGTACCCTGTTTAGCTTCCGAGAGCAGACGGGATTGGGCTCGTTCAGGGTGGCGTGGCCGTAGACTGAATCTTTATTTTAATATCTGCTTTATTGACAAGTACGATATACCAGAATCTGTCTGTCCTATTACTCTTCCCCTCACTGAAGCTCTTACTATAATGCACGAAAAAGTCCTTAAAGAAAAGCTCACTGCAACTTTTAAACTGTCCACACAATGTATGAAAACTCTGTGGAAGGCTGTCTGTCACACTCTTGAGAGTGGCCTACTGTGGCTGAGTAGGATTGGAGGTGGAAAGGGGCTGAGAACACTTGTACTTTTTACTGTCTTATCTGAGTGGAGGTGAATTCATATAATTCTGTCCTTTAAAAAAACGGAATGTGGATTTGTTTAATATTTTAAAATGTTTACCGAATATTACCCATTACTTTTAAATAAAGTGTACTAACTGCATTTATATTACATACTGTGAAATCTTTCAATCATGCATAAAATTAAGCACATGCTATGGATGTAAAAGAAATCAGACAATGCCAAAGAAATCACAGTAAACTAACGTAAATCAGGTAGAAAACGAACATGGAATTCAAATTACTATTCTACGTTTTCTATTCCATCTCCATTTGTGAATGGTGAGAAAGCCCAGTCGGGGGAATTCAACGGATCACTCTGGGATGCTGACTGTTTCTTCCCTGATTGATGCGGCAGAAAAAAAAAAAAAAACAAGCTGGACGTTTCACTCAAAACAGTTCCCACGTTTTATATGTAGAGGTAAGCTGGCTTAGGACAGCAGATACTGACAGAGGAAATAAAGTCAAACGAATCTGACAGGTCAAATTGCGCCTGTGGACAGGAGAGTACTGCTGAATTATATGCAAAAGTATTTCAACAAAAGGCTGAACGTTATGGACTCCACAGCCTGCAATCACCAGACAGGTTCGACTACGGATGGACAGAGATCAAGAAGAAAGAAGGGCAGAAGACGGGCGTGGCTCCCAGTCCTGCAAAACTCCTGGCCAAAAGCAGTCAGAAAATCGGGCCATGCAGAGCTGGATGGGATCTCAGAGATCACCTGCCCTAACCTCCGTGAGTTAGGGTTCAGAGGACCCTGAGGCCCAGCGCGGTGAAGTGGTAAGTCCAAGGTTACGTGATAAGCCCAGGCAGTGCTGGGACCCAAACCCAAGTTTTCAAATACCCACTTCTAAACTCCCGACCACACGATGCTGGCTTCCCGGACACCATTCGCTGAGCGAGGAGAATGGGCAGTACTCCTAAAAATGCCGGTAGGACCACTCGGATTTATACCAGAGCAGACTAATCACAACTCTGTAAGCACGGTGACAGTGAGACCAAGAGGAACTTTCCACGGGAGGTCAGAACTGTACAGAGAGCAACGCTGCCTTTGGGCTTCTCCTTCGGTTCACGGGGTGGCGCCTTTGGGCTCTACTCACTCCGAGATGGAGCCAGCTCCCACACCGGCCGTCTGTCTCGTAAATGTTCAAGGAACGCTCCACTCCAATCTCAGCCTCCTTGAAGAAACATCCCCACTTCTTAGAACAAAAGGGTTCTCTGTTAGGATCTTATCCGAACTCTAGGGACCTGGGCTGTTTACAGTCTACTGTCAAACAGTGCAGTGAAGACCCATATTTGTCTTATTTTTTCACAGTCCAGAAAACGTGCACCACCACCGTCTTTGAAAAGAGTCAGTCGGGCAAGTTACAGTCAGTCACTCACTGAGGGCACAGCAAGTTTCACTATGTGACCTCCAGGTCTGTCAAAATAACTTTTTTCAATGGCTTGATATCTCAATATTATTAAATCATTCTATATCATTTTTCTAACAAATCATACCCCCTTAATGTACACAAGTACAGTAATTCTCTGACACTACATCAACTTCTACACTATATTTAGTCACATATCCGTGGACCTAACTGGGCGACAGCGTATCACAGTGGTTAGGATTTAGGCTCCGGATTAAGACTGATTGCAGGGCCACCACCTACTGGGTAGCAGTGACATTTTAGGCAAGTTACTTAACCTCCGTGCGCATCAGTTTCCTGACTGCAAATGAAGATGAGCACAAAATGACCTCACAGTGTTGCGTGGATGGAGAGAGAACGTATGTAAAGCACTTAGAACGAATGCCCAGTACAGAGTAAGAACCTGATAACTGTTAAGTATTATCAATGCTACATGCTACTTTATGAATTAGAAAGTGTGTACTTTTAAGAAAGGAAACAATCTGTGGGACTCCATCTTTGTCCTCCCGTGGTACCTTTTAGTTCCTTACTTTCTTGGGCTTAGACGAAAAAGTCGTAAATGGCGTGTTCGATTTATGTCGATGTACTGAATTATTTAAGAATGAGTCGGAGTTGTAAAAGTTTAGGAGTCTTGCAAATGTGAGGAAAGCAAGTGTAACACAAGACAAGTGTTTACTCTGTGCCATCGGCATGGTCCCTTGAGTACAGAGAACGGACTTAAACGTGGCGAGCGCTGGACAGAGACACACGTCTCGGTTTGACAGCTGCCTTTCCATTCGATCTTTAAGAAGAGCTCCTGCTCTCACTGTAGGTACATTTGGCTTCAGACTGAAAATGTAAGGTGATATCTCCCTCGATTTTTGACATCAGAAAACACTACCCAAACTTTCACAGAAATATATAAAATCGATCCCCCGCTACGTTTGTGGTCGCTGTGATCTCCTAAGCAAAAAGTCGGAGGTCCAGGGACAGCAGATGTCAGAGAAAGTCTCTGCCGAATCTGAGCCTGGCACTGTGCGACGGGACCTTCCCGACTTTTCTGTCCGGGTCTAGCAGGCTCGGTGTGCGCCACTAAGCCCACGACATTCGGCAGGTACTGAGCACACACTCTGCCAGCACGATGTGGGGAGTCGGAAGAATGCAGACATGACCCCCACTTCTCCAGCTGATCAGTTCTAAGTGCTTTACATATGTACAAAGGGCCGAGACGCACTCAGAAAACTACAAAGCACCAACCCGGCGGGATCAAGTGCCAGGAGACTGGGCAGCCCCAACGGACTGAGGACCAGGCGACGAGCAGCCCATCCAGGGCATGCCAGCCATGCAATTCTGAGCAAGAAACTTCATTCTTTAGGTCCACTGCCCTATTCACAAATGAAGTCTTTCCTCAGGGGTTCCTGATTAATTCTTCACAGCTGTTTAAGTTGGATTTATTGAGGTATAACTTAGACAATAAAAGTCACCATTTGTATGTGTACAATTCAGTGAGTTTTGACAACTGCACCCAGCTGTCTCGGTCATGATACAGAATCACCACAGAAAGACCCCTCGCTTCCGTGCGACTCACCCCCGAGCCCCAACGTGGATCTGCTTCCTGCTGCTATAGTGTGGTTTCCTGCAGAATTCGACATAAACAGCATCGCATACTGTTTGCTGTTATGGGTGACGCTGCTGTAAACATCTGTGTACAGTCCCTATGCGACGGCGTGACGGGATGGCCACAGGGAGGGGGCGTCTGGGGTGTGCACACTGCTCCCCGATTCTCAGGCCTTTGCATGTAGACTGAGTGACGTCACCAGCTCCCCCAGGTCTCCTGCTTGCAGGGAGCAGAGCATGGGACTTCTCAGCCGCCACAATCCGGAGAACCCTGACGGATACGACACGTGGTCACTTTTCCTGTGTTAATACTTGGAGTGAAAATGCTGGGCCATATGGTTAACCGTGTTTAAATCTGTAAGAACCACCGAACTGTCTCCTAAAGCGGCTGGACCCCTTGACATCGTCACCGGCAACGCGTGAGAACTCCAGCTGCTCCCCGTGCTCGCCAGCGCTTCGTATTAGCGGCCCTTTGAGCCTTCGCTAATCTGCTTGCAGAGATCTCTTACTGTGGTTTTAACTTGTCCTTCCCTGATGTCTAATGGTGGAGAGCATCTTTCCGTGGGCTTATGTGCCATTTTTCGTCTGCTCACATCTTTTGTGTTCTTTAAAAAGAACCAAGTCTGTCTTATTATTTAATGGTAAGAGTTCTTTATATATTTTGAATACAAGTCCGTATTAGCAAAGGTAAATTAGCAAAGGTAAATCTAGCATGCGTTTTACAGATATTCTCCCCCACCCCAATTTTGCTTTTAAATTTTCTAACGATGGCTTTTGAAGGATAAATGTTTTACATTTTGAGAGTCTAACTGGTCAATTTCTTATCCTGCCTTCTGTGACTTCTCAGTAGCAGAGGGGACATATCCCACCGTCATAACCCCAAACTGAGACTTAGGCAATCAGAGACTATATCGGATAGGACAGCAACTCTTTTATTATTTTTAAAGCTCTCTATAAGGAGCGTCCCAATGGCTCACAGAAAAAAAACTGCCAAGGAGTATTCAATTTTCATTATGTCTGGACAGACAGTTGAAAATCATATTACCTCAACCATTTAAAAAACAAATATGTAGTAAGAACAATTCTTCATTCCTTAGACAAAGCTCACTGCCTGACCCAGATGTTTTCGAAAATATCGACTGTATTACTTTTAGAAGATCCATTAATTTCGAAGTCTATCTACTGTCTGAATAAATAATAGATAATATACAAAAATAATAAAAGAGATGACAAATATATCTGGCA